CTCTACCACTTGAGCTACAGCGCCTCTTCCAGTTTTCTGGTGGTTTATTGGAGATAGGAGTCTCACGGTCTCTCCTGCCCGGGCTGGCTTTGAACCGAGATCCTCAGATCTCAGCCTCCTGAGTAGCTAGGATTACAGGCGTGAGCCACCAGCGCCCGGCTTAGGTCATCCATTTTAAAGCTTATTGTGTTTTTAGTATATCGTGGAGTTACATATTGCAACTATCTAAATTCAGAACAATTACATCCCTACTCAGTAATCGTGTACCCATAGATAGTCATTTTCTTTCTTTTTTTGAAGCTCTATGCAATCTCTCTAATTTACTGTCTATATATTTGCCTATTTTAGTCATTGCATATAAATGGAATTGCAGAATATGTGGTTTTTTGTTTCTGCCTTTTATTGGGTACAATTTTTAAGGATCATCCATATTATAGTATGGATCAGTACTATTGTGTGGAATACTAATATTGCTCCACCTACAAATGAATCTTAAATCTTGTGACATTTCATGTATAGATTCATCCCCCCTCACCTTTCTTATCTACTTTATTTTCATAGAAACTCTAGCCAGGAACCACGGCCTGCACTATCCAACACAATTCAGAGGCCGCAGCTAGGTCCCACAGCTAATTTACCCCTAGAGATGGGCTCGGGGCAACTGGCACCCAGGTAAGAAATAAATAATACCTAGAGGAATAACTAGGCGGGGATGATTTGTGTTCCTATGATTTTTTTGGGGGGGGGGGGTTAGGCAATTTATTTTGTTTTAAGCCATTTCCTTCAGATTCTTTGTTAAAATCTTTGTTTCCTACCTCTCTTCTCATCGATCTTTTTAACATGTAGGCAGCAGCAACAGCAAACAGAACTAGACATAGTATCAGGAAGAGATGGACTGGCCAGTTACAATCATTCCCAGGTGAGTGTGTATCTTATTCTGTGAAGAAGACAATTAAGCATTTCCTTAAAAACTGTCCCCTAGGTTAGGCATGGTGGCTCATGCCTGTAATCCTAACTGATCAGGAGGATCATGGTTCCAGGCCAACCCAGGCCAGGCCTGGTGATGTGTACTTCATCCCATCTATAAGGGATAGGAATGGGATGGGAAGCCATAGGTAGGCTTGCTGTCTGAGGCTGACCACAGTAAAAAACACAAGACCCCAACTGAATATTTAAAGCACAGAAGAGCTAGGAGTATAGTTTTAAGTGATAGATCATCTGCTTGGCAGGTGCAAAGCCCTAAGTTCATATCCTAGTACTAGCACCCCTCCAATACCCAAAAATGTATATTTATACACACACAATCTCCTGTGTATTATATGTGAATATTTGATTTGGTGAATTATCATATTAAATGTTTAAAGATTATTTTTGTAATTTGATTCTGTAGGTTTCTGTCCAGTCTGTGACAGCTACGGGGCCAGAACACAGCAAGCCCCTTGAAAAGTCAGATGGTCTGTTTACCCAAGATAGAGATCCAAGATTTTCAGAAATCTTTTCCAACATCAATACAGGTAAGCTTCTTCCTTCATTTCCTTCCAGTTCTTATTTAGATCACCTGTTAATGGGCCTGATCAGTAATCTTCCTGATCAGTAATCTTCCAACCTGTTTCCACTTAATTATAATACTTAATAAGTAGGAATTTACTAAACTATATACTACAGCCCCTTGACTAGCCCTCCCCCAACTCCTTTTGGTCCACAGATCAGAGTAAAGGCATCTCTTCCAGCACTGTCCCTGCCACCCAACAGCTATTCTCCCAGGGAAGCACATTCCCTCCTAACCCCCGGTCGGCAGAGAATTTCAGGTGAGCCTGGTATGTGTGTGCTGCTTTATAGGGCCCTGAAGGATTCAGTTGCTGAATCCAAGTTTTATTCTTCCCTTTCTCTGATTATTTATAACAAAGTAGTAGTTTGTAGGGCCTCAGTTAAGGCAAAGAAGCTGCTGTTTTCTTCCTCCTGTTTCTTTGCACCTGCCCTGTTGCTATGTTCTAGGTTCCATCTGTGTCCTAGTCAGTGTATAGCTATCAGTCTTTTTTTTTTTTTTCCCCCAACTGTTACCTAGCCTCCGTGATATCTTTTTGATCTTTCACCTGTTTGTTCACTCCTAGGAATAGTAGTCTGGCCCCTCCTGTAACCATTGTCCAGCCATCATCTTCTGCAGGACAGATGTTGGCCCAGATTTCTCGCCACTCCAATCCTACCCAGGGAGCAGCCCCAGCTTGGACCCCTAGCACCCGCCCAGGCTTCTCTGCCCAGGTAAAGCTTTCAATCTGTCTGATCATCAATTTTTTGCTTGCTTGAGCTTTTTTTTCCCCCCATATGTGAATTTATTTTCTATCATATCCTCTCCTTCACCTCTGTCCTCTACCTTCTACTTTTTATCTTTGTTAAGAGCAATTAGATAATTAAAACACTATAAATTATGAGGTTCTGGTGGCTCATTCCTATAATCCTAGCTATTTAGGAGGCTGAGATCTAAGGACCATGTTTCAAAACCAGGCCAGACAGGAAAAGTCTGTGAAACTCTTTATCTCTAGCTAACCATAAAAAACTAGAAGTATAGCTGTGGCTCAAGTGATAGTGCTAGCCTTGAGCAAAATGATTCAGGGACAATACCCAGGCCCCAAGTTCAAACCCTAGTACCTGCACGTGCGCGCACGTATTCACATATTCACCTTTATTCAGAATTTCTCACACAAAACAATTTGAGTAGGTTTGATTTTTTCAAATTGGTTTTGGCATAAATTTTAAGAACTTTCCTCTTTGTTAAGGACTATATGATGTAAGAATAGGGAGAAAACTAGTATGTAATACAAATAAATATATTTAATTTATATGTTACTATATATTTTTATTGTGTGTTTGCATATATGTATATACATATTATATATTATATGTGTGTTTGCTTGTGTGAGTATATAAATATATAAAGAAATAAATATTTTGTACTGGGGTTTGAAGTCAGGGCTTCATACTTGCTAGCAGGCATTCTACTACTTAAACCACACCTCTGGTCTTTTTTGCGCTGGTTAAAATTAATTTTGGCAGTACTAATGTTAGAACTGAGGGCTTTGCACTTTGCACTTAACTAGGCAGGTACTCTACCAGTTAAACCATACCTCCTCCAGTCCTTGCTTTGATTACTTTCTCTAAATATCATACTCTACTGTTATTAATGCAATTGCTTCTTTTTGGGGGCCAGTACTTGGGCTTGAACTCAGGACCTGGATGCTATCCCTGTACTTCTTTTATTCAAGGCTAGCACTCTTCTACTAGCACTTTAGCCACAGCTCCACTTCTGGCTTTTTTGGTGGTTAGTTGGAGATAAGAGTCTTACAGACTTTCCTGCTTGGGCTGGCTTTGAACCTTGATCCTCAGATCTCAGCCTCCCCCGTGGCTAGGATTATAGATGTGAGCCACCAACACCCAGAAATGCCTCTACTTTTTTTTGTTGTTGTTGTTGGTCGTGGGGCTTGGGCACTGTCCCTATGCTCTTCAGCTCAAGGCTAGCACGCTACAACTTGAGCCACAGCGCCACTTCCGGTTTTCTAGTGGTTTATTGGAGATAAGAGTCTCACAGACTTTCCTGCCTGGGCTGGGCTGGCTTTGAACCGAGATCCTCAGATCTCAGCCTCCTGAGTAGCTAGGATTACAGGCGTGAGCCACTGGTGCCTGGCTGGGCCTCTACTTTTATAATTACATTTTTTTTT